TAAATGGGATATGTAAAAAGCGCTATGAAGAGAGTCCTTAAGCCGGACCTGTAGGAGTTCGTACAGCACAAGCCCGAGCCCTATTATGGGCCGCGTATCCCATAGGACCGTCTGTCACATTGAAAGCGATACATGAGGGACCCCTTTTATATGGACAAATTATATACAAATATGGACTGCTGATTAGAGCGCTTGTACGGATATGAAAAGGGGGTTCGAATATTGCTCCGGCCTCTCCTCCGGTGTATTATCGTATTGTCGAACGCTAACTCGAACTATATGGTGTGTGCACGCTCGCTTGTGCCTTTCTGCTCCAGTTCATCGGAAACGTGTATCTTATTGTTAGGTTTCCAAATACAAAAGATTCCTATTAAGATGTTTGCATAACCGGATTGAACGATCCAGGGGAATATAAGAGTTTCAGCGCATGGAAAATCGCAAATAGAAAGAAATATTGAACCTAAAATTTAATGAAAATTGATTAATATTTTTATTAAAAAAAACTCTTGGCTTTGCAGGCATAAATCGCTAGTCGTTTATGAATTCTAATTATTGTTGCTTCGGTGAGAAAAAAAAACTGTCGGGTAAATCGCCTGGAAACGTACTGTTGGAGCGCATAAAAACGGGAATCTGTTCGCGATCGAGCCCGGTTTCGGACCGATACATAATAAATGGCGTCGACCGAGCATCGCGACGGGCGCGACGGCGGCGTCGGGACCGCGTACCGACGCTCTCTCTGCGCTCTAGTTAGGTCAGTCAAACTGTCACACTCTTTAAGTGTATCACTCGCCACATTTCGGCTCGGATAAATTTATCATGAGGCCGCACACGTAGGTAAAATACCGACGTTTGTCGAGGGAAATCCGTATAATTTGATTAATTTTCGCGCCGCCTCGTCGCGGCGGATATTTGTACAGTTAAATTGCGTCCTAAGAATAATTACGGGAAGGATATGAATTGATAAGTTTGTACTGGAATCGTGTGTTTGAGAAGCGTTTTTTATCTAGTATGGAACAAAAATAATCGAATCGTATTTAAATGTAGAGTGAAAGCCGAGCGATTTGAGCGAGGAAAACCTCCTGAAAAGCGGAAAAGTGGAAACGGAAAGGTGAATCGGAGAATAAAAAGTAACGACGTGACATTTCACGAACCGCTTCTAATATAGAATGCATGACTCCCAATAGAGGGGGGCCGGTCCTGAATAAGTAAAACCACAATAAACCACACAAGTGGGAATACGTTAATTTCTTAATTTACTAGTTAAGTTGTTCGTCGCCATGAATTCAGTATGAAGGCAAAAGAAATATTACTTGAGGAATTGCCGCTTGAACGCGTTTTAAATTTGATTAAATTTTTAATGGGGGCCACTTTTTTGCCGCGTAATTTAATTGCGCTCGCTCCTTTATCAAAAACTTTTAGATGGGAATTTATGAATGCGGAACGTTTTTCGCGTTTTATATTTTACGTTTGGGAAATCCGGACGGCTTTCTTTTATTCTCCAAGACAGCCCATTAAAAAATTGCACAAATTAAAAACAAATTAATCGATTTAACAGCCGGCGCGCACTGAAAATATTACCCTGCCGAGGATTTCGCATCTTTCGGTCTCTTCCGCGATTTCCTCCACTTCCATTGGAGCTCGTTGAGGGAGCGAAGTTGAGCGAACCCCCCCGACTTGTTTGTTTTGTTATGCAAACTTTGGCTTTTTGTTCTCGAAGATGTTACGGGTCTCTCTACTCCCGGCGTGTTGCAGAAACCCATTTTTAAGCAGAGTAGGGAAAAACTTTTAAGCGCGAGATATTGCAGAAAATTCGAACGTTTTCAAAGCAACAAAAATGCGGAGTATGTACAGTTCGACAGGAATAGCTAAAGACACGATATGCGCGAACGTTATAGCACTTACATTATACTCATAACTGAAATAATAATTATTTTAAATAGGTTTTAGTCTGTACATTAATATTATACCTAATGTGATAAAAGTCACTAGTAGCTATGACCTAGAAGTCTCTAATTGTTCCTGTCGATCTGTAAAATATTATCAATAAGATAATTTTAGTGAGCGTTATGTAGGCATTTACTTTTGTAAATTATTTATTGGACGCGGGCGTCTTAAATTAAACATTTTGTATGGGCACATGCGACTCGACGCCACCCCCAGCCCTCACTCCTTTTCGACGCTTCTTTGTCAAATCGGACACTATTTGCAGATTAATATTTAATGGGTCGGATTTAGATCAGATGTTATGTTTAAAATTAGTGTAAATCAAAGGGCACAGTCGGGCGCGGTCCCCCGAGACGCCGGGTCCGGACTCGGGGGACGGGCCGCCGGTGCATTATCAAATTACCACCACCCGCCCCTGCGATACACCGTTAATCTGTTTTCAATGAACCCCGCCGGTTCGTACACATGATACTGTACACACAATATCGATGGGGCGGCCGGAGGGATGCTTCGAGACGGCATCCGAAGGGTGAGGTTGTTTTCGCTCCGGAGCGACATGCTGGGAGTGCATTACAATTACGATTTAACAAACCGGTTGATTCGATATTGATATTGTTTTAATCGATTTTAATTTTATTCATAATACCTCGTATCAAACTGTTTTCTAATTATATTTGTTCAGAATCAGCTACAGTTATTCTCTATATGAGAGTTTATGAAAGAGTATATGAGAGAGTATATGAGAGAGTATATGAGAGAGTATATGAGAGAGTATATGAAAGAGTATATGAAAGAGTATATGAGAGAGTATACGAGAGAGTCTATGAGAGAGTATATGAGAGAGTCTATGAGAGAGTCTATGAGAGAGTATATGAGAGAGTATATGAGAGAATATATGAGAGAGAATATGAGAGAGTATATGAGAGAGTTCATATGAGAGAGTATATGATAGAGTTACCTAGAGATATAGGATATATGCAAGAGGTATTGGATTTAAATTGTGCATTATTACGGTAAAATTATAAAAATTAATGGCGTTTAATTCGTTTCTAAATAACATTAGTAAGAAAGAAAAACCTCATGAAATATGATCAACGACCAATACAAATAAGTATATAAAAAAAGAACGTGTAACGAGCTGTCAGATGAATTTAAGTGTTGGCTCTTTCACGCACGTGTTTCGACAGCCTAATTAGAGCGAACGGGCACGTTAACGTTTACGTGCCCATTTCGTGGTTAATAATCATACGTTAAGATCTGTCAAGTACGAATTACAGTTCATTAGTAACCTTTTCAAACAATTCATTAGAACGTTTCTTGAAACCGATAGTTAAATATTTGAACTTTCCGGCTGGCATAGAGGCGGTTTAGGAAAAATTGTGTTATACGTTATACGTAGGTATTAGTGGGAATTGACGAATTTAATGCGTTATCGGTCGTAAATTTAAAACCGAATGCGGGTCTTTTGTCGAGTTGATGGTCGATTTGGCGCTGCAAAAAGACATTACGAGTCTGTTTCTCCCCAATCATTCTTTGCAACTGCTCTCTCTTCGGTCGTCTCTTAGTTTCGCTACGTGTTGAATATTTTATGAAGGCCTTTTTCTCACTCCTGCGCTAGGTAATTATCTCTTCTTTATAATTTTCCGGAGGCGATTCGGGAAACTTTTAGCGATCCTCGACAATGGAAATTGAAATAAAACGCCAGGTCGAATACACGTAGGAAACATCGAAAAATGTTTCTATTTCTATCGGATGCTCCCGCCGTATCCAAAACTCCACTTAACTTTGGAAATTGATAAAGAGCAGGAATAATTATCCGGCGGAGCCGAGAATAAGGTATCCGATAAATTATTAACGATTCGAAGCGCAGTTGCAAGGGACGATTGATGGGCTAAATGGGGTAGACAAGGGCTCGAAATGCTTTTTCGATGCTCCGCCGTAATTGTTTGACCTCAGTGACAGGTCCTGTCCTGTCAGAGATCACAACATCCGACTCTCGCATTACTATTTCAGGACGTAGTATTTTCTCGACAATTTGACGTCCGACGAAATTTATATACGATTGTCATCCCATATAGAGCTGTTGGTTTTATCCCTCTATTCTATTTGCATCAGTTCTCAATGCCTAATTGTTTATTAATTCATTTAATTAACGCAAATACTTTTGAATTATTTAACATATAGGTATTAGTATTAATCGTTTTAATCATCTATATTCCTTCCTAAATTTTATTAAAGGTGCCTACATATTTTTTAATTGTGTCAATTTTGAAACATGATTTCAACTGTTTGATATACAGGTTGCTCCATTTTTGATCGTAACATAGGTTATATAGGCCATGGGTGCGATAAAGACAACTTCCATTAGACACTTACAAAGGAAAAGGAAAGAGTGACATTTGTGTCATTGCAACTTTTCACTCTGACAACTGTCATTTTAATAATCTTTCTTTGTTTTACTCATAGAAATTACCATGTTGATGCAATCGCAAATGGAACAAGGTGTATAATTAATTAAATTACAGATCATCACTTATTAATTACTCCCTTATCCACCTCATTTCAATAACATTGCGTATTAGTAATTATACATCGACCTTAAGCACAGGTATTACCAAAACACATCCTGGACAACCTATTATTACGACCCTCCGCGCCCGTACCTTAGTATAATCCCTTTTCCTCGACATTTTAATAATCCCCTTTTCCCTTTTTCCCCCTCGAAAAAAAAAATAAAAGCCACAATGTGCTTGTAAAATAACATTAGAGATTTCCCGAACGCTCGTGCGGCGAAGAAAAAGCCCGCCCGAAACGTAAGGGCTGGAAATGTCGTGTTTACTTAAAGGGGGACACCTGTGCTTCCGGCCAGGAAGTAATGCCCGGAAAATCCGGCGTAGCCAGTTTACCGGAGGTGTACCTTGACCGTGGTGGACGAGAGGAGTATACGCAAAAAATCGATAATAAAATATGCATCGTACAGCATGGTATATTTTGTACTTATTTTGTGAGTCACGGGATGGGGTTGGGGGTGGTTGGGTGAAAAAAAAATCGTGGTTTTACTGATGTACTTTTATTACATGAGCCAGCCATTGAATTGTTATGAACAGTATTCAATCGAAAAGTACTTGTACTATTGGATTGGTTAGGCCTACGTAAATAGGGTTGGGAACGAAACATGAATATCCAACAACAGAAAAATAAAATACAATAAGCGAATATACATAATTATTTATTCGGTTGTTTCTGAAACCTGCGTGGTTTTTTCTGACGTAATTCTAAAATTCGAAATGGTTTTTATTATTTATTTATTTACATTACAAAGGATTTTTATGTACATTAGGTTTGGTAAGAGCTCAGATATTGTCTTTATACGATTCGGTACGAACAGGACTTTTTAAATTGACAAAGAAATTTCAAGTTACTGATGTTTTAAATGTGGCTTTAATAAACGAATTTTAATGTCTCCATAATTTGCTGAAAAATCGAATAAAATCGATTTCGAGCTGTTACCAATCCAAACTTATCTGATATGTTATCTGTATAGTTGTGATATGTTTATTACCCTGTGAAAGTTTTGTATAAGGGGTGATTTCGAAGTTTATAAGGGGTTCGTTCGGTAATTAATGCTTTATTGGTAGTATTTTTTATTCGAATGTAAATATCACAATTCATAGAGATCGAAAGAAACAATGAAATAATTTCAACAAATTTGGGCATCAAAAAAAAATCTTTTTCTCCGTTCAGATATATCGTCTGTTACAAACTATTTATTGCTCACAATGAGGAAATCTATAACAAATTATTTACACGTGGTTCGAATGTACATCACATGAGAATATGTCGCTTAAAATATATTGCACTTTATCCAAAAAAAATACAAAACAAAATATCACTTGAGATGAAAATACTGATCCAATTTCTTTAATACTGTGCTGAAATTGCTCGATTTTTTATCTTCAATATGCAATGACTAGAAATTAATTGGCCCATGGTTTTGAGACATTAAGGAAAGTAAATAAAAATGGAATAAATTATACAGGGTGTTCTGGAAAAAAATTCTAATCGATTTAAAAAATAATTAGTAATATTTCTGATCGTATTACTACAATATTAAAATTAAAAACAAAGCATTCATTATTCGAAAACACGCTGTATATTTGTTAATTGTCAATTAAATTAATTAGTCAGTAACCCCATGGACCACTTGATGCGTTGACTAGAATTATGTACAATTTGGTTCCCTAAAATATTACAATCTAACGAATCATATTCAGTTATTTCTTGTATAAAAAGTTGTACTATACTTAATCTGTATTTTACATGAGTCCATTTTGCTAACAAATAGCCAGTTTATTATAAGTTTGTAATAGCATTAATTATGCCCTTAAGTACTTGCGGAATCTAGAGAAAATTAATGATATAGTATAGTATTGTGTTAAATGCTATAAGTCAATTTTAAAATAATACTAGATCACCTCCGGTGGGATGATTGTAAAATAAGTTTGTACAAATTTCAAAGTTATGATTTTTTAAATAAACGTTTTTTGAGGTAATTTTTGAGGGCTAAAGGGCATATTTACTTTATATGAGCTGGCTGTTTTTTGGCAAGAACGTTTTAAAGGTACCGTGTTGACTAGTATGTACAGTGCTTTGAGCATAATCGAAATTGGCGAAAAAGGATTTAATAAGCATTTTTGTCGATCCTCACCAATCACAGTCACATCAACGATCACAAAATCCGCGTGTGTCTTTAACCATTTACCTACATCTCGATCCCGGTCGAAAACGTATTTATACGAAAAAATCTGGCACGATTCGCGAAACGTTTTTTTTGGCGCTCCCTAATAAAACCGTTCGGATTTAAAATACTATTAACTTTGGCGCAAAACATATAAGATACCGTGCATCGGCGCAACTGTACAATCGGGAAATTAAAAATATAAAATTTCACTAATTTACAGGAAACCCGAAATTGACGTCCGGTCAGTGTTGCGCGGCGAACTTCATGCGCTTCTGCTTCTGCCGCTGGTTGCAGAACCAGACGCGCACCACGTTCTTTTTCAGGTCCAACTTCTCCGCTATCGCGGCGATTTTCTCGCCCGACGGCCGCGGCTGCACGGCGAAGTACGCCTCGAGGCTCCGCTTCTCCGGCGCCGCGATCGACGTCCGCTTCCTCTTCTTCTCGCCCGCCGGCAGCACGCTGGGCGCGTCCGGGTCCCGGCGCTTGTTCTTCGCCTGGGCCTCCGCCTCCTCCAGCCACGCTTGCAGGATCGGCTTCAGCGCTATCATGTTGTTGTGGGAGAGCGTCAGCGACTCGAACCGGCAGATCGTCGATTGCGACAGCGCCCCGACGCCCGGCAGCTTCAAGTTCGCTAGGGCTTTGCCTGGAATATACCCAAAAACGTATTCTAATTACAAGAAACAGAGCGCGTTTTATCTACGCACCACAAAGTAAAGCTCTATTTTATCTCTATTATTATACATATAAATGCAAATTTGTACGCAATATGCTGTCTATGGGTGTAACAAAGACATTAAATTTAGTCTCATATAACTTTTATAAATAATAGAGATTTTCTTATTATTGCATAAATCATATTCAGTTATAAAATAATGTATGACTTTAATCTTATGGAACTTATAAACTAGGTAAATAATAGAAAAAATTAGAATATACCTACATGACTTACCTACATCTGCCTGCGTAACGCCTAGCTTGATCCTGCGCTGCTTGAACCTTTCGGCGAAGGCCTCGAGTTCCCTGGGGTCGGTGTCGGCGTCGGGATGGAGGCCGGCGACGGCGGCGGCGGCGGCGGCGGCCGCCATCGCGGGGTGATGGGCGCCCGGGTGGCCGCCGTGGTGGCCGGGATGGTGGCCGGGAGCGCTGTGGCCGGACAGCGGGCCGCCGTGGTGATGGTGATTCATGACGTGATTCATGCCGTAGGAGTGCATGTGCGACGGCGTCTCCGCCATGGGAGTCAGGGTGGTCATCGATGAGGAGGTGATGGGGTCGAGCATTTCGAGGCTGTCCATGTGGCCCATCTGAAAAACGCGATTTCCTCGTAAAACGGCGGTTTTTAAGTTCGATCCCAGCCATTACGCCGACCGCGCCACTTTTACCCCTTGTATATGTAAGAAAACATTTCCCAACGGTGCAGTGGCGGGCTCCGTCGGGACGCATGCCTCCTCCCTCGTCGTGTTCTACACGTCAAATGACCACTTTACACCATTGTGAGGCCTAATGATGAAATATGGCGCTCGTGGGACGCGTTGAATCATTGGAATTCTGCACTGCAGTAAAATTTATGGGCGCGCGTACGCCGAAAGCACTCAAGATGCGTTCGCTTTTATAGATATATTTTTTACTCAAAAACCCAGTAAGAAACTAAGCCAAAAGTAGCGTTCATATGTGTAAAAATTCCGTGTATGTATCGTTCACGTGAGGAACGGGCACTATATATAGAAAAGTTTCGGCCTAAAGGGAGAACACATTCTGAAACCCCCGAGGGGCGAAAGGCTGCCTAAAAGGGGGTTGTCACTTGTGTCTTGTTTGCCGAACACACATACACGCAGCCCCATCGGCGTTTGTCGAATGTTTCTATGCTAACAACATGCTTTTTTGTTTTTTCTCGAGCGCTATATTTGCCTTTGCATTGTTTAATTTTGATGTTTATTGTTTGGACCGGTGAAAAGAAGAGGGGTTGAAAGATAAGAGAGTTTAACGTTTGTGTAGTGCACAAACGTAATCCAACGCGAGCTGTTACATTCGAAGGATATAGTAAATTCTGTATTACCGCTAAAATTTGCATTCGGAATTGTTTCGAGTGAGAAAACTCCATTAAATTCATTTATTTACTGTCTGGAACCCTAATGGAAAATTATAGAGTAAAATCTTGTTCGATTAATTAATTAAAGATGCGAAAATTCAACGATGCGTCCCCAAATTGACCGGTCGGTCGGTTACAAAATAAACCATTTATTTACTGACGATGCCGTTTGAAATCTACCTGTCAAATAGACCCATTAAGAATTCAGGACGTTTTCTGAAAAGGACGGGGCGTCGCGTCAACGGCCCTGAATTTTGCAGGATATTCGTAAGGCTGGTGTTTTTTTTATCGTAGGGAACTCCGGGCGAGAGATAAAAAAAAGCGTTGTTTAAATACGTTTTCGCCAACGATACAACGTTTGTATTTTATCCTTAAGTTTATAATAAATTGACGAGCCAATTTTATAGATTCCACTTTTACCTAATAGATTGACGGTGAATATATTGATGGTGTTTTTATTCACATATACGCTACATTTATGTTAATTTACTATGAATTTTATCTAAATTCTCCAACTGGTGATATCCCGAATTAATGAAACTCCATATGAATCTTTTAGTAGCTTAATTGTACAGGTATTAATAAATTACTCTATTGACATCGAAAGGAGTTTAGACAATTCATAGTGATAATGTAATAATTAACGATTCGGTTTTAGAATTAACTTGGTGACGGACGTGGCAAGATAATTGACCGGCTTTTTAATTTCAACACGTAATTATAAGCGAAAATATAAAACGGGGCGAGCAATTCGTGATAAACTGGCGTTTTATAGTCTTCTGTGTTCGTAGCCATGATTGTTCACAATGTCCACATAATTTTAGCCTGACATGTAATAAAGTCTGCAGTGTATGGAATTTAATATTCACTGTTGATTTTCCTGTTTTTTTTTGTATATTATATTTATTTTTCGGCGATGCGGGTTTTTTATAGCGAGCATGAAATAATATAATGAAATAACAACCAGTAATTGAAAGAATCCCACTTGTTTTTATTTATTTTTATTCCGGTTGTTTCGGTCATAACGTAAGTTGACACATTTGCTGCCGAATTAATAATGCAATAGCGTTTTTTAGTGCAGAATTCATCGGTTATTTCGTTCTACCGCCGCATTTTTCGAATTAAAACATATGTATTTTATATCCGGTTGCTACATAGAAATACGTATTTTTATCCCAACGAAAATGTCGCTGCATTTTAAACAAATAATCTATAAATCTACATATAACTTAACTCCCTTTATACTTTTTAACCAAAAGAGCTCTTCTAAAGCAAATAAAAACAAGCAAATCACCGACCCGATTCAACCGCCTACTTTTTAGGCTTGTTATAATGAAAATTTGATTCGACTCGACCGCGAAAGTCTCCCTTAATACCGGGAATATCCGCCGATAATCGCGGCAACTACGGTTACTGTTTTGATGTCTCGTAACAATGGAATAACTACTTCAAAGTGTGCTCGATTTTCATTGAATTTCCGATGAATTATTGAGCGATGGGGCGCGTTGTGAGTAAAATCTACCCTCGAAACGCGCAAACATTAAGCGAACGATGGAGCATCAAAAGAGATATCGATACAGACAGCACAGTTATTTAGTAACAACGTTATATAGAAAATTTCTGTAATGTACTCAAATATTTTTTGTACCAAATATTTATTAAAAAGCTATGTACGAAAATCGACTGGAAAAAGTAAAACCGAGTTCCAAATATTGATCGAGTCGGTTCGTGGCCGTTAAATTTTTTTATAGGGCGTAATATCAGCGACGTTTTATCTAAGTGAATCCTCAAAGGCCCGCTAAATTAGACCATGAAATTTCGGGATTATGGTGAAAAGTTATTTAATGCCGTGTTAACACAAGGGGTGGATACTTTTATGTTTACGGCGCAGCCAGCGGCGTACTGGGAAAGGGAATATTCGAACTTCCGATAATTCGCGGGCGAAAGAAAATGCGTGAGCTGATAATATCGAACCTGATGATGCGGCCTACTGACCGGCGGCGGCGCCCCCATGCTGTGGTGATACATCATGTCGTGCTTGAGTTGGGGGAGCCCGCCGGGCCCACCTGTTCCTTGGTGTTTGATGTCCACAGCCGCCAGAGCTTCTGCTCTGCTAATCAGTCCGTCGTTCAAGCCGGAAAAGAGATCACCCTGTAACAAAAATTTATTGTATAGAAAACGAAGAAAAAGTGTTAGAAGTTCGGAATTTTTGAATGAGTATTTAATATTGGTTAGAAATTGTATAATTGCGAATATATTAATGTAAAATAATTGAAAGTATAATAAATGTAATTAATATAATTTGATTTCAATTACTCTGTGTTGCCGGTTTGAATATCAATCAACAGGTGAGAATTAGGTTTTTAATAAATCACGAATTGACCACTGTGTTTTTAATGATTTGGGTAAATGTTTAATGCATGGCATTAGGTGAAAAATTACTTAATAATGTATCGAATCAACTTTTACTTGCATGTCAAATATTAACTTTCTATTAATAATTTACTGTGCATCGTATCTAAATGATGTACGTACAACTTATTTTGAATTTATTTACAAAATTAGTTCATGTTGCTGCATAGTTTGTTAGTTATTATCATAACGCGAAGTAAAATAGAATTCGAAATATTTCGAGTTTTATATCAAATATTTTTTTATAGAATATAAAAAGCCCAACTCCGTCAAGTGCCTAATTTAAACTTGATAGATATATGTATTTCGCATTTTTACCGGCATTTCAATATACATTTTAAATTTAGTGACTTTTATGAACTGACAACCTAAGTGAAATTTTATGTTACGTTTTTCAGATGAACCTGACAAGGCGTCTGACGGAATACGTGCCGTGAAGGATATCCCATACACTCGCGCGTCAAAAAAACAGAAAGAACAATCCCGGAAAATTTGAACTACCGAGCCGGCCATTTTCAGCTTCAAATTAACGGGCGACAGGGTGATTTCAAAAATAGACATAAAGGGTCCTTTAAATTTAAATGTCACAATCAACTCAAAGGATTCTTTAAGCCTTATAAAGTGGCATTTAGATATAAGATATTAAGCAACCTTTTCCTAAAGAAACCTTGCGTTGTGGTACAAGTTTAAAGAACACTTCATCTTAAAACTTCTTTCCGATAAAGGATACTTTAACTTTTTATTATTGAAATCGCCCGTAAAACCCGGCAAGATACCTAAAGTTAATTAATCAGTCGTGAAAACGTAAACGAACAACAAACGCGATCAAGTGATAATCGCCGTAATTGTATTCTGTCTCGCGGAGTGTGCCGCGCAATAAGGGGGTGAAAACAAAAGATTTATCACGGGTCTCACGGCCTGCCGCCGTCTAATTCGCATTTCGGGTTATGGACCCTCATTTGTCTTCTCGGATGATTCGATTACGCGCTACGATCATTTTAAACGGTTTTATCCCATCGATTTCGCCATTCGATTAAGCAACGTCGTTATCGAGATGTGCTCAAATATTAATTAATTAGCCGGGGGATGAAATTTGTAGATAAACGTGTAATTTTGATGGTTTCGTGTTGAATAAGTAATCCAGTTAAGGACGTTGGTATCGAGTGGAATTCGAAAAGTGTACGGAAACATCTCTCTTGATTAATCGAACGGGCGTACAGTTATCGGTATGAGCGGCGGAAGTGGCGCCGTCAGTAGGATTAGCATCATTGCGTTCCGGAAATATGGACAGGAAACGGAGAAAGGGAAAGCACGCGCTACTCTAACAAGTGAGGACCGGATGAATTATAAATGAGTCGTAAGAACTAACTCCCTCTCTCTTTTTATACCCTCTATTCGTTCCACGCTTTTTTACACGTATATAGGGATATTTTCGGGTTCTCCTCTCGCTATACGGGTAAGTGCAAATTTGTTTGTAATATGCTCAATTCTAATGAGTTTTGGTTAGAGTGCAGAGAAAGTTGCATTCTCTGAAATTGTCTAATTTTACACCAACTGTATAGCAAGCTAGGAATTTGTTTCTAATCTACATTTACCGGAGCAACTTTATATGAACGAGGCACGCTAATTCCGAAATTTAAATAGGCCTCAGTGGGGTACATTATGCAGCACAAGGGTTGGTCGAATCTAAGAGGTTCTCCCCTTTTAGAAGTTGTAAGAATCTTTCCCTTTTCGCGTGGCTTCCACACGCCTCGGATTATACTTATTGCCTTAATAACAGTCTTCTCTCTAATGGCTCCTGATGGGAAGCGCTTCTTGCGAATTAGCCTATAAAGCAGGATGATGTTTTATAGGTAGCAAAGTCTCGGGGATTTGTGATGTTTAAATGGAATTTAATTCGAAAGAATCGAGTCGAGTGTTCAATTTCTTGACGGTTAAATTAAAAATGAGGTTGTTTGCATAGGCGATTTTAGTGTAGTTGTACATTGATTCGTTCCATAGAACATTATAAAGTGATGTTACAGAAAATATTATATTCTAATTATAACTTTTTTTGGAATGTACCTATAGATAAATACCCGCCGAAAAGAAAAAAGATACGGTTGAATTATTTATGAATTCGTTAATTATGTATTTAGTTACCGATCTCGATAGACGTGACTTCTAATTGTGAATTATTTATGAAGTTTCTAAGTCTTTATAGACACTGGTTTTTATCGAAAATTAATAAAAAATGATATCTATTTTTCTCATTAAACGAGCAGGTAAGTACTTTTTTATTTCCAACCTTTGTAATTAAGCCCAGTATAAAACCTATTCTTAACTAAATATAGGTACACATAAGTTATGGTTGTATAAATTTTAATTACACTATAACATTAGCAAAGTAACCATTATTTGTACTATTATAGTAACTTCATTTCCTATACGCGTGCCATATAAAATTTATGATTATCAATTCAATCACGACAATATTTACCTAGAACTGAAAACAATTTTAATATCCTTTGGCTTTTTTAATTTGAATGTACATTTCTTCCAATAAGTCGATATTTCTAAAACTGCATTGTACGTATAGTACAAACGATGAAATTATGTTATCTAATATGTCAAGGGACATGCAACTATTTTTATTTGTTGACAGAAACGATTTTATTGCAGGGAAAAAGTATTCATGCATTAGGTATGTAAAAATAGGTTAAGTAATTCGGTGGACTCACATTATGTCTTGGAGACCACGAATTGCACATTATTGATGCGTCTTCTAGAATTCGACTCTGAAAAAAGACAAAACAAACATACATATTTTATCGATACCTCAATTTATTATACAAGAGTGTAATGCATTAATTTATTGCAGTATTTTTCATTATTCAAAGCCTTCCGAAATCACCCTGTATAGATGTAAATGCGCTTTTCCCATTCGAATAATGCTTTAACGCGCCTTGAAATTATACGCACGTGCCACGTCGGGCGGCTCGTGTCATAAAGTAGGAACAAATTATTGAATTAAAGGAATCCCCTAATGCACTTGACTGGATTGACGGGTTTATCGTTTGATTCTTATCCGGGCGTTCGTTGTAACGATGGATGCAATTAGAGAAAATTATTCGTATCCCATTTTTATGCTTTACATAATTCTGTGAATTAATTTTATTTTTTTATTATTGTTGTTTTATTTATTGTTTTATTATTGATATTTAATTGCGTTATGGATTGTGTGAATGTGGAAAGTTGTAATTTTTCCCACGCTGCAATAGAAGAAAATATTTCTAGTTGGTATTAGTTTCTTTCGACGTTTTACACTTACTTTCAATCGATGCTATATAGGATAATAATAGCGTACGGAATATCCAATATAGGTATAGGTATAGATTTGTATATAGTTGTGGATATACTGAAATATATATTGACGTGTCTTTTATTTTTACTGTTTCATTTGAAAAACATAAGTACTAATTTTGTTTGCTAGTTATCCTTTTTATCGGTGTATTATGTTAAAGTTTGTTTAGAACGAAATTTCTTTTCTATCTGTTTATAATAAAATATTCCTGTTTGAAACATACAAGATGTTTCATAAATAAACTACCCAAAATAGTAAGTTTAATTATTGAGAGAAATAACTTGTAATCCGACCATAATAAAGTACACTAAAAAAAGTGCGAATAATATAAAACGTCATTATCATAATCCTCTATTAACAATTAGGTACAATCAACTTGTATCTTTTTTTTTATGAAATTTTACACACACACGCAGATATAAGTACGTTTGGAAAATCACAGAGGGTAAAACAGTGATATAATACGTCGGCTCCGCCCCGGTGGCTCTATCTACCAATAGAGCGTCGCTCATTATCGATCGCAGCGTCGTCGAGTTTTTCCCCCACCAGCGCCGCCATTTTACCCCCACCAACCTGGCTCCCTCACAAGTGCTCAATGTGGACGGGATGTTTATACAGATTGAGGACTTTCCGCCTTTCGGAGAAGGATAAAAGGTGAATATCAATAGAGAAACTGGGATTCGCGCGCTTTTTTTCCCGTTACTTCTTGTGTACGATTCAAGTTTTCCATCTATCATTTCGGGGAATTACCTGATATTTATCTACTCCTACTTATGTGCGTCACCTGATGCCTATTTTTTGCTGCATTATAAGAATATATTTCATCATATATTTGCTATTTTTAACATGGATCAGCTCAATAAAATTTACAATGTTAAACACTTTTTTTGCCCTACCTTTAACTTTATTAAACGTACATTAACACTCGTTAAAATTAATTATTAATAGTGAAAACAAGCGTATAAATCGCTTCACACTTTATTATACATTATTACAAAGCAACCAACAAACCCGTTAAATATAAAATTAAATTTCTGGGAATAAGTAACATAATGGATGCTGTGAATTACTTCATGAATCATTACTTTATTTAGAACAAATCTATTGGAAAAGTAGTCAGGTATAATATTTAGACTCAAACAGAATAAAACAATAACGAGCATTGAAAATAAACCTGCCTCTACCCTGTAAATTAAAGCAGTAAGTACCTGATGCTATGAAGAAACGTTAAAATCGCTTTGAAGTGAGCTCCTTTATTCCGAGATTTTCAGTAACTCCATTTTATCATTATTCTAATTTTAATGTCGACGAAAACATTATACCTACTTTGGCTCTATTATAAGGAGGTACACAACGAAAGAATGTAATACTCTCTGTCCCTTTGAAGTTTCATTCGCCAGAAAATTATCATAAAAGGGAAAGTGCAAGGGTTGAAAAGCGTTCCTTTCGTTTTTCGGCATTTTTCTTTCAGGAATATGCTAATAAGTTCTCTCGGGAAATAGATTCACATCATACCTAATTTTTTAGAGCCGACTTAGAACGACTAATCTCTTCAAATAAAACAGATTTTATTCTGATATTCTGTTAGGAGATAATTTTTTATAAATTAAATCGTCAGGTAGAAAGGGGTTGTTTCATGCACCTTATACCGCAAGTCTACAGGTGCTCGAAAAATCACCGGCAGGGCGGCGTTCGTAATTCGAAGCATATGGAGAGGGCCGAAAATCAAGAGGGATAATATTGTAGTGTATAAATCTGAGCGGTGGCGATGGATGGTGCCATATGTCAGTTTATGTTACGCTTCAATGACCTCATTATTCACCCTCTTATATTTTATTCATTAGGGTGGTTTGTATATTTTAAACGTATTAGCGAGGCCGATGCGATTGTCGGGCTGTTCATTTCGCTTTCCGTTCGACTGATATTTATCGCTCCTGTTTTTTTATAGTTTATTGAAATGCGCTCTCTTCAGATGGGGATATGGCTCGTTAAGTTGCCTTTTGTTGGCTATACTATAATACTTACAGAAGGAATTAATTTTGTTTGGTTATAAAGAGTGCAATTTGTACGTAGTTTTTAATTCCAAATTTTTAATTAATTGGTAACCAAAAATATCTGCAGAATGTTATTTTTTTTAATCGAAAAGGTACAAAAAATAGGAGCTTTCATACGATAACAACCAAATGAAACGAGTCGGTTTCATTTATTAAAAAATAGTTTACTATGGCCCTCCGACACAAAAAAATTGTTTATTTACGGCACCATTAACACTAACTAGCGATGAAACGTTATTTTTTTCCACTGAAACGTAACAATGAGCGTTATTTACCAATGCGAATTAAAGCGACGTAAAAATTTCGGACTCAAATAATAAATTTCAATCCATTATGCTGTCGAACGAGCGCACGCACGTACATACGAAAACCCGTCGGAAAACCATGAAAACATGATTGAAACAATAAAACTGACAACCGGTCGGCATCTCATCAAAATATTAATACCGGCCACGGCTGACATTGTACCGTTATTAATTGCTAATGAGGTTTTTTGTCGACAAAAATCAGCGTAATTCCAACGGATTCGTTTCCAGTTGGCACAGCTGGTCCTCGTCAAAGCACAGCCTAATTAATTTGTGACTAATTAGTTGGATATTTCGTTTAATTACTGTGCATAATATTAAAGCTGTTCAATAAAAAATAGTGTATGGTATGACCGAAACCCCCTGTAGTAAGTACAAAATGTATAAGGAAATGGACATTCTGAATAAAATTCGTGTCATTCTGCTAATTATCGGAGGGGTGTCGTGCAAGTGAAATAATATTTTTCGATGACAAATATCCTAAATATCAATCAAATAATCGCGCGAAAGGGAGAAACATTGGGGTGTATGTTATGATAGGTTTTCCATTGAAGTGCCGCAGAAGCGAATCAATTAATTTTATTATCTATTACATTATTGGTATTAGTGTTATTAAATGTAAAAGTAAATTTTAAACAAATATAATTTTTTACTGGGAAGTTTAGTAATAGGGAAATTATAGTTTTGTGATTTTTATGACAATTACTAAAGTTCTTTTTGAAACACATGCCTCAATATATCAGTACATAAAGAGCCACATCAATTCAAATTTATACAATCCCTTCAATCAAAATATTTTTACTATAAAAATCAGTGATTACTATTATTTTTATTTTAGAATTTACAACTATATTTATAATTTATCTGTGTTATATTATTGTATTTATAATGTTTGGCAACGTTGGTGTCCTATACTGTCAACGAATCGTCGTTCCTGCAAATGTATATGAGTAATTGATAATCGATACGAAACAGGAGTTTTGTTATCCTATTTTAAGAGAAGTGTCATTAGAAGTCCATTCAAACGATATTATTTATTACCCACTTCTCCCCCGATTGCCAAATATAAAGGGGTAAATTTGTTCGAATTTCTACCGCGATATACCGAATCCCCTGAAACACGAAATTCAATAAATACAAATTCGAGGATTAATTTTAAACTTCTAGTATGTGTTCAAGTAAAACGTTAAAAACCGAACTGTAAACTATGATATAGTTAAATTGTTTATCGGTCTCCTCCGGCCAATAAAACTCCAGACGTTCGACCAATAGTTGAAGTAACTACTCGACTGGAATTCATCACTATTGCTAAAATTTAAGGGAGAGAAAATTCCCGCGGGATCGATAAATTGCGACCACCAGGAGCTACTAAAGTTGTTAAATGAATTTATAGCTACTAGATGTCGGACAGTGGTCATTACTGAATTTATGTGGCCATCATTCAATTGCTTATAGGCAGGTAAAAAAAACAACCCTCGTACATCAACCGGCTCGGAGGAATTATTCCGTAAAATTCTACTTTTCTGCTTTAAATTTACGTTTTTAAATATAATATTTTCTCGGATTTTCTGGCCGTTCTTCCGGAAAAATTTCGCCTCGAAGAAAAATTAACCCTCCTCACACACGCCGTAAAATATTCATGGAGGAACCGACTCTACAAAAACGTTTAAATATTTAATGACGGTCAAGTCGATACGCTTAATAGATGTATGAAGAGGAATTCACAACAACAAAAATAACAGGAAAACGTGGAAGCACCTTCGTGAGAATGGGTCAATAAAAAAATTAGTAATTTTACATGTTAGTGTAAAATAATGTAGTACTAAAGTTGCAGAAGGATTAAAATTGTGTTGTGCAATTTTAGTTACGTGGCTGATCGATTTGTAAAGCATAAATGCAATTTGTATGTATGAAAATGTAGAGAATCGATGGATATCGACGTCGTTGGATAGGTGGTATTTTTTCAATAAAACTTCCCGATACATCGGACATGCAAACTAAAAAAAACTGATACGACGTAATTTCGTTTAAATGCCTAAAAAGCGTTAGGGAACAGATAGTCGTCGAAACGATGGAACAAACTTATGACATAGCGTGAGCGGAACGGCTATAATAGCTTCGGACATAGCGGTATTCGTACAGGCACAGGCTGGAGGGTTTTAAGTGACGTATAATCAGGTGGCAGCACTTGCGGCCGTTCCCACGATGCTTCCGAGGGTCCAACCTATTATTAATATATGGTTAACGAACGATAATTATCCACCGATGTGGCTATTTTACCTGTTTTATTATCGTATTTATTTGCAAGGTGAAATCGTTTAATGTTAGGTTACCGAATGTTATCCATGGCAATTCTGGATCAAGAGGAAATTTCTGGATTACGGTGGAGCGCCGTGCAATTTGCGTCGAATGCAAAAGTAATTATTAAATGCAATTTGCTTTGTTCCAATATCATTTGTCACGCCTAATATCCTCATATGCACTAAATACGTAAAAAGAATTACCTCTGTAATACCCTCGAAAATTCTCGTAATAAGAAGCAAAAGAATAAATTCTCGACTTCCTAGTAAATCGCGATTGTAATCGTAATAAATATAGCGCCTAATAGCTTCATTGGAATAATTCCCAACCCTCGAAATTTACAAGATGAGTGGCGCTCCATTTTCTCGGATGCCGCTTGTTTCCTTCCATTAAGTAATACGCACAAATTGCGCGGAATTTACTTTCCCCCCTTAAAATTGTTCCAAATTAAGGATTGGCACTTAAAACTTTTAAAAAGTATAGTAGTAAAAAAAGTATATTCATTCGCTTTGAAGGTACATCCTAACGTAGGGATTATAGTCACGGGATTTATGATTTTTTTTATCAAAATTAGTAGGAGGGTTGTTTACTTATAAATAATGCATGATCAAATTACTGTTATGAATACTCAATGCTGGTATTATGGTATTCCGAATGAATTACTACATTTTTTTGAAAAAAAATATGTTAAAATTTAATGTTACCCTTATGTATTGTAGTTATCAAGTTGATTTATTAATTTTTTACATACTGATAGTTCTAGTTCAATATATTCTCGTAATTGGATTTTTTAATCCGATTTTATCGTTTGCAATTAAGTTTCTTTTAATAGGTAATTCACTTTTTAGTAATCATTACTGATTAAATATTTATTTGTGACTTACATAGTATTTTCGTCCATTTTCGCATTTCTGATTCAGCAAATCATCTTCCGAATACTGAAATATAAAAAAATATAATTTAGTCTAATAGAAAAAGTTCCCTAGTAATTAATTATGAAAATATTAATTACAGTTTTTATAGATCACTTATTTATTTTGATTTACACTATTTACATGTAAGGAAGTTCTTAAGTTCTATGCTATTGGAAATCAAAATTAGAGTTATTATTCCAGTATATAAAATTGGTGGCAGGATGTTAAAAAAATGGCGTAAGAGCTATATTTTCTTAATTTAAAATGAAATTAAAAATTTTAATTCAAAATAATTAATTATTGTAGAAATCAATTTAGCTGAATTACATGTTAAAATTGTATATACGAGTATTATTTACAAAAAATATATTTCATTTTATTGAGTAATATATTTATAGTTGAAAAAATTTACACATTTTAAAAATTGGTGCGGAAAGTATCCGCCACCAAAATTCGCAAACACAAAATTTTAAATTTTAAATTTCAATGAATGATTAAATAACTTTTATTGTTTGCCTTAATTTGTTATTTTCTTGATATTTGTCTGGTTCTTTCTTTACAAAAAAATAATATTGTAGACTAAAATGAACGTATAATTCAATTGAACCTAATAATATATCACAACTACGCTACATTTGTACATTTCTAATGGTGCACCTACGTACTCTTTCCAAGCACTGTAATTTTATAACGGGCGCCTTCTTATTAAAGATAGCTCAGAAGCAAAGAATATTAGTAATGGAAACTCGGTATATATTTAAATTTTTAAAGCATGTCATAAGGGTACAATTCTTCTTATAGTTTCAAAATTTGTACTCGAATTTCTTTTTAATATTTTCTTTTATTGAAAATGAAGAATAATTGTTGGAAATCTATTGTTATTAAATCATGCTTTAAATTGAATCCAATCTGTCCTTCAAAACTGACATAAAATCGGCGAAAAATCAATGAATAAATAGGTTACATCACCAACCAGGGAAATGTACTTTATATTGTACTTAAATGAAACTACATTGAACAGGTACAAATATTAAGAAATCTTCTCAATTATCTAAATTCAACTCTCACGTTAAAATTCTATAAATACCAAACAATCGAAAGCAAAACCATTCAAACCTATAAATAAAATTTACCACCCGTACACCGCATTAATCAACCCCCTATATCAAACCGACCCCCGTGCCGCGACCGTCGCGTCGCGACGCTTTCCTACATGTAAATAATGTTAATAATAAATAAACCAAAACAAAACCTCACCGACGGATTGGGCATGCATCTCCTGCTCATCGGCTCCGGACTCCTGTACGTCGGGGAGTACCGTCCCGCGAAGCAGGCCCCCGTCGACGTTATGGGTCCGTGCAAGCCCGTCGGGCCCTTGGCGCCCATCATTTTATCTGGCGAATACATGTCTTCCGAAACGTCGCGTCCTCGAATTATCGCAAAACGTGCAAGTTCATTATAGTCGATTTTATTCAATTATATACCCAGCATCGTTTAATGTTTAACAATTAGTTAAGTATAATTACGGGAAAAAAACCACACTGACACTTTTAGGGCACTCAACAATATCTAAACAACGAGTATATTTTTAGTGTATTCATATTCATGTTCGATGGAATTCATACAGTCCGCGTTTAGGCGTTATTAGATTGTGCAATGTTTGCTGCTACATCAAACCACTGGTATGTGTGCCAGTTTGTCGCGTTGGTTTAGCGAACTCGCCCTTATGTCGCTAAGGGTAGACTGGAATTAACTGAAGGCGAACCGTCGGCTGCCATTGGAGTTTTCGGGGATGCGTCGGGAGCGCCGGCGCGGCCGTCCGTTCGGGGCATCGGGACGCCCCCCGATCGCTCCTGCTGGCGCTACGACGATCGGCGTAGCAGTCGCTTTCTAACGAATTAGTGGCGTTTTGATGGTGTATGGATTTTCGAATTGTCCGAAAAAAAGTACATGTACCTAATGAAAGGGTTGGAAAGCGAAAGGGTTGATATTCTCACCGGTGTTATTTTCCTGCTTTATATTAATGCCAGATTATTTTTTTATAAATAACCAATTTTTTGATTGTAACTGTTTCAACATTAAATTACTTCTACTGCATGAGTACAGATTTTCTTAAATTGGGAATAGTTATGGATATATTCGTTCCATCGAGCTGTATACGTATAAAGCGTAGATATGCGTCCGGAATCCAATCTTCCGGGCGTACATGTTTTCCGCATTTCGCGCGAACGCGCCGGATCGAAAGCGAAAAAAAAATCCTAATTGAAGATCCCGTTTATTTATTGGCCCGTTCCAACGACGCCGGGCCATGTGTAATCTAATACAGAGCGAATAAATCCACATTTGGGTTGACAGAAAGCGGGCAATCTTTCGAACGCCGCTAGCGCCCGTTTCTTACCCTCAAATGTGACGATGAGGATCCCGGCGAAGCTTGAGCATTTCACGTCGAAATTGAATTCGGGTTTCGGATGGGAATCTACGGGATATAAAAACCCACCGTTGCACCAATCAAATCGAATAACTAATATATTTAATTGGTAATTATTAATAACCCAAAAAATGATAAAAAATGCTGCAAATAACATAGCTAATAAATATAAAAATTACAATAAAAAAGATACTAAAAGAAACAATTTAATCAATTATATAGTATTCATATATTCAGAGTGGCACATTTCAGGGTTTAAAACGAAAAAACGGAACACACTGTATAAATGTAACTAATTTTAAAATATGCATCTTAAAAAGATCTACAACTTTTGTACTGAAGTTTTTCTGATATCTTCTACAATAACAGATATATTGAAGCTTTTCCATACTAATGTGCCACCCTGTTTATTCGTTCCATCAATATTTTTTCGTTTGCTCGTTTACTGGAAACAGTAGAAATACGGGAATGAGCGCTATCCCAAAAGACGGTTGATATACACAAAATCGTCCAATAGAGATGAACTTTGTGTGCGAACACAACCGTCTATGGGGAGACGGCAAGAAAGTCTCGCAGCTCCCCGAAGTGCCGCTGGATCAAAGGGACTCTCCCCATATATTTATTTTATTGTCATGTACACATGCACTTGTGCTAAGATTGCCGAACATTCTTCGGCGTAAAATAGACGGGGAAAACAACTGCGATATATACTAGTGCTTCCTATAAAAATAATAACTTACCGGAGTCGTTTCGGAAAGCGTAGGGACTTTTGCGATGGAGGTTTACGATTATTGAAGGGCCTTTAGGTGTAGGTATATATACAGAACAATTTTTCGGGGCTTTCGTACGATTATAATATATTGAATTAATATGTTACTAATTCTTTCTTCGATTATACGTATAGACGAAAAATCTATTCATTCTCCGGCATTTCAATTCGACCGGAAAATAATCTCTAAAGTAAATACATTTATTTACATCGCAGTAATAATGCAGCAGTCGTTTTCACGGGCCATAAGCTCGCCTTTCCATTATTAAATTTATAAATAAATAATTTAGGACGTAATTAAACGGCCGATTTCGAATGTTATTATAACGACTATCTGTTTATCGCGTTTAACGCGCATTTCGTGGACAAGATTCGACCAAATGAATACCAGAATTGATTTTTTACGATTCCTGTATACTGAATTTATTTCGTATATTCCCCAACATATTTTGTTAGATGCGTTTCTGTAAACTTCATAAAATTTTTCCATTTTTTCCATAAAAACACAAGTGCAAATATATTACAACTGAACATTTAGAACTGACTAGCACCTATAGGTCTTTACTTTTACTACAATTTTTTATCTGAAAAATCGACAACTTGTAAAATGTAAATCTTGTATATGCAAATGTATCATGTAAATATGTTTTTCCAATGCCTCTAATATCTCCACGGGCAGAGCCGGTATATGCAGCAGGAATTTTTCTCAATTATATTTTAAATCCGCGAAGTTTGCGGGGCTCGTTGGTGGCCTCTAAATGCTTAATGTTCGAATAAAAGTCGACTTTGAGAGTAAATAAGCGTTTGACATAACAAATCACGAGCGGCGCGGTGAGTGGCGGGACAATTAAATATTTGAGCAGACGTTGCAGCGGCCGGGTCAAGCGAGCGCTTAATAATTGAGCCGCGTGGCTTTTAACACGGCGAAATGCTCTTCTTTTATTCAGCATTCGAGCTCCTGTAAACGGGGACTTGACACCCGGGCCGGTCGGATTGATTATAAAACCATCGGGAATGCTCATCGGGCGTCATCCCGTTCGGATCGTCTAACTCCAAACTAACCGGGTATAGAGACATATAACTCGGGAGTTTTGCGTTATATATCGTGATCGATTCGATATGTGGCACGTCGGCGTTGGTAAATTATTTTGTTGTTCGATTCAACGATATAGTTTCAAACGGTTCCGGGCGTTTGGTGTTTTGATTTACGTCCGAATACTTGTGAATTATTCCTAACATAGAATAGAACAGTGAATATACATTTTGCATTATAAAGGTACCGGGGATTATGGATGCATCCTGTACTATTTATTAACTTTATTCATACTTGTATCTAACCGCTGCTTACATGTATTATTTAAATGAATCAAGTAGGTATAATTTTCAGATTTCTTTTATAGTGAAACTAGTAATGGGCTAGTATAATAATGATATTTATATTCACATTGATGTCTAAACCATTAGGTATCATTGTTTGTACATAAATGAATAAAAAAACCGTTTAAAGTTCCCTGCTGATCAAACTCCTTTGCCGTATAACCGTCGAACAAACAAAACCCGCTGTTTTCCATGTTTCCATTTTTTTTCCTTCACTGGTTTCCCACAGCGGAATTATTTAATCCTTTGCATATCTAACTAGTAATTAAATTTCGATCACGAACAATTCGCCGTTTTTGTTTGGAATACGGCCGGCGCGCCCTTTCGTCGTTGTAGCATTTAGAAATTGGATGAAACCAGAAAAAGAGCCTCGAACGCCACCTGAGGGAACGCAACGCGTCAGCTCGTCTATCCGGTTTGATACACTGCGACCCCGAAATATAGGGGTTGCGTGTCGGAGCACGTTTCGGTCACGTGGCCTACGCCGCATCATTTCGTATTCGTCTAATTGCACTCGATGTAATCACGTGATAAAATTAATGCCCCACGAGTGGGGCACGTGTGGCACTCGGTTGCTGGTTGCCTCGATGGAATGAGCCGGTTCCCAACGGTTTATTGGTAACCTCGTTGATTCTAATGTATCGTTCTTTTGCTGCTGGGAATATTAGAGAATTTTTGGAAACTTGTTATGTAAACAGGTTTGTTTTAGCAGGATTGTTCCAGAAGGTTTCTTCCAGAAGGTCTGTTCAGTAGTTTTATTCATCAGCAGTTTAAAATTCCAGCAGGTATGTTCCAAATATGCTCTCATCATAACGTAAGATTGATTATTGCTGGAATATAGTTTTACAAGTGTTTTTTTATCAAGTTAAATTGATGATTTTTTGTAGAATACTAAATTAGTCAATAATACTTTGATAATTTAATATTAATAGTTCAATAAATTAGTCAATAAATCAGTATATAATTGTACAAGTACATTTTTTAGAACTTTTGACAGAAATAATAGATTTTTTAGATGATTTTAAAGAATTTAACTTGTAAATGTGACTATTTTTATTGACAATTGAGAATGAATTTGATAATTTTGAAGCATAAAATTTAAAAAGCTTACATCCCAGATCGCTTTCTTACATTATTTTTTATTGGAAAACGCAATTTTTTTGCATTTTAAATTTTCATGCCTTCATGCGGATCTCGATATGAATAAATTACAGTTCTTCGTTTGCAGATGTCGCTATTTTTATGCCAAATACTAAATATTCCAATGTAATTATTACCTTGGAATATCGATGAAAACTTTCTACAATAATAAAGCGACTGAATTTTCGATTATCGATCAGCGAATAATTTGTAGTTCTGCTATATCCTCGAAAGTAGCACAAAAGGCTTTCCGCATGCACACTTCCCAATTAAGAACTTTTATACATGTTATTTAAACTCGACTCGGCGTACAATCGATCATCGAACGGGAATAATTTCCGCAGCGAAAATCTTATATGCGGGAAATTTGAATAATTCACAACGATAACCTCCGCGGAGCCGGCATCTCGAGCGACAACAAAAGCGGCCTCCCGAAAACGGAGAAATCGACACGTATCCGATACGGGGGCGCTAACGGGAAAAGATTGGGGTCCCAAACGGCAGAAGAGGACCAACGCCGGGCGGATAGACGAGGCCCATACATATACATGTCTTTGAATATTTGATGGTGGATCTTTGGCAAGTCGTCGTAACGGCCACCGGAGGCTCATAACTCATATCGAAAAGCTCTATATCAGAGGCAATCGGGTGATGTATCATTTATTGGTTTCGGGAGACGCGCGATGAAAATGCATCCCTTTCTTGGCGAACGAGCAGCGATTTCTAACGTATAAAGTGAAACCGAGCGAGGGCATTAGAAATACAAACGGAATTAAAGATACAACCCTCGCGACCGCCGCGAAATAACAAACGACCGAAACGCAGAAACTCCTAAACAAGACCATTATTATTATTAGGCTCTTAGAGGGTGATAAATGCCGGTTTGCCGCTACCGTAATGACCGAATTTATCTTGTTAATAAGATCCGAACGGCAACTAACGCGATCAGACATCAGGAAGTGTAAGTAAACTGTTCCACGGTAACCTCATTGCGACCTATTTGTTAACTGTCACCCTTAGTTGAGATAAATAAGGCAGTTATCGCTATCCCGGAGTGGTCTTTTCTTATTTTCTACCTACTCCACTTGTAACTTATGCGATGCTTTGTGTTCGTTTCCAAGCCTTATATTCGATTTTATTTCAAATTTCTATTAGTTTTCCGTGTTGTTATGTATAATTTTCATTCGTAGAAAAACGAGGTATGCACACACATCCGCACCGCTTGGTAATTTTATGTAAACTTCGTTAAAACCGGGGCCCCGACGAGCATCACATCAATGCCCGAAATTAAACTGTTCGCGAACTTTTTAATGAGATTTTTTTAATAAACCGCCAGCGTATCAATGTAGCCGAAGGCGACCGGTATCCGGCGCGGGCGGGAGCGAGAGGCGGCGAAACGTTGGAGCGAGACGACCGGAGAATATACACTTTGATTAAGAGTGCGCCCCCTCCGGCTGTATTTGTCATTAGTTGAGTTAGCTCACTGTTACTGTTTGCTAATCACAGATGTGGCTGATTTAAACCTCCACCAGCCTCCACCTCCTACAGGAGGTTTCTACAGGATGTTCGGAACTTATTAAGATAGCCTTGCATTTACTTAAATGGATAGTGTTGGTTAAGTTTGTTCTTTAACATAACATTCTTTTTCCTAATGAACTACTTTTCTATTTTCTGCAAAACATCAGCTAATTGTAGCTCCAAAAAGATGTGATCTCGTTGAAATTTTTCTGTAGGTTTTTGGAGTATGAATAACTAACAACCAATTAATTTACAATACCTATGCTTATGTACTGGTAACTAGAAACTTTGGAAATATTGCTTGAGGCTACAAATCGCTCGATAAACTGCATAATTAGCAACCTAGTTGCACAATACAAGATCACATTATTTCTCCTTCGTATTGTACAAACTATCTCTTATACACGACAACTCACAATCAGTAATACTCATGATAACAGCGAAAATGTGTGAAATTAAAAGCTCTCAGTAGGAAACTCGCTTTTGCATTCATAAAAGAACCATCCGGCATCAAATTAACACCAATTTACACCAATTAAATTCGCAAATTACAAAAAGAACGGTAGCGTACAGACGAAACAATAACCGTCCTGCAACACGTTACGTGGAAAATCTACAGGGAAATCCGTATAAGTGCGGTGATAAGGTCTACAAACATGCACCGTGTCGAGCCGAACAAATCCCGAATCTAGCGACATGTAACACCCATCAAAGCGATGGTATAATTACCCAAATCTGTGAAGAACGTTCATCGCACGCCTGTAAATCCCACAGCAAGACGGTTTGCATGTCTCGTCGTAATTTTAATTCAATTTACCAATTAAGGCGAACGGGTATATTCGATATTCGATTCACCTTATTCAGAATGGAGAATAGATTTGAAGAGTATTGGAAGATATATAAGATGTGGACGTTGCAAGAGGAAGAAGCTAGTGGGTGGGAAGATGATAACAAGAATATTCTAGGTCTTGGTTTGATGTCTATTTTGTTTTACTGGTTTTGGGGGTTAATTGGTCTAATAGATACTTGAATTTGATCCACTCAGTAAGTTGTTTTCTTGAAGATTGGAGTCGTTGGTAAGCATATTGAGCCATTACTCCGTCCTCCATAGCAGAAGAAAAAAACCCCGTCTGGTATAAAATTCCACATTCCACCATTAATTTTCAACTCGTGCCGGCAAGAAACAATAAACCGAATGGTTACTGTAAGCGAGCAACGGGCGCGATTCGGCTATCTCATCTCCTTCCCGCTCGCAAATACGAAACCGGAAAACAATTACATATCAATTCCGTTCCTCCTCGGAACAATAAAAGAATGGGGCAATTCGCCGCCGCAAGGAGCTATAAAAAACCGTGAATATATTTTGTGTAATTGCGCCCCATAAGTCGAGTTTATTATTCGTAGTTCGGGCGGCCGCCGGCGCGGCGCTAGCGTGTTAGTGTACCCCCGAGACCCGAGGGGCACGTGAGCTCCGCTACGCGATACGGGGGGGCCGAAACGGCAAGAAAAACGGCTGGAGGCGGGCGACGTTACGCGAACGGAGTCGGATGAAAGATGCAGACGTTTCGAAAAATGGGCGCACGTATAGCACAAGTTGGATGAAATCCACAATCCGGAGCGTTTTTATTTAAATGCTACTTTTATTATGATCCTCTTGGGAAATTTCTTATTAAAGAAGAAGAAAAAAAATGGTTTACTTACTTAGCTAATACGATATCTAATACAATCGGTGGGTATCTAATTTAATTTATTTACAAGTATAGGAGGTAATTAACAATACCGTAAATTTTGATCAACGGGAATAGTCAATTTATTTTTATTTTTTTAAACCTTGAAAATCCACACAAAAAAATCTGAAACTTTTAAAAAATTTTTAAACTCGTTTCTATTCACTATCTTTGAGACATCCTGTATATACAAAAATTAGAATGTACGATCAGCGCACCATCTATCGACGAACCTTCCTATCTCCAAACAAACATACAGTAATCTACTAAACAATTTCAAATAATTATCGGTAGATGTCGGTAGCTGTCAACTTTCGATGCATTTTTAATCTCATCTCATTGGATTAAAAACTCTCCTGCGACGTGTGTCAATGTCAATTGTCAGTTTTAGTTGTCAGTGTCACATTTTATTGCAGATTACAATTTTTGCATTGGTTCTTTGAACGTTGGTTTTACTTGTTTCTATTTTTTTAACTCTTATCTGTTATTCAAGAAATTGCAGGAAAGTGATAAGCGACTGTTTAAATAATAGCGGCAACGAAACACTGTATTTTGGGCAAATATGTGTGCGATTTGAGACGATTGGAATCTGTAGGAGGTGCTGTTTATAGTACAAATAACCTTTTTCAAGATTTTTTTATGGACATATCAGCAGTTTTATTAATAATATTGGATAAGATAATGTGAATGCGCAGATTTTAATATGAAGAAACAGTTCTTTCGTGTGAAGCAATTAACTGAACAAACTTTTCTCAAGTGAGTAAGCTGAATGTTTAATTTATCTCTCTATCAGTGTTGCAAATCAAGATTAATTGTATATATCGTAAATTTCTCCATAATGATACAAAATACTCAGTGTTAATCGGATATTATAGGTTTCAGTGACATAATGCAAGTTATGAAAGTAAATGAGGAAGAATTCCAGTAATTTCATTTTATCTTGCTTGAATTGTTTACACACTACTTGAGATTATTAGACATTAAAACTACATAAATAAGGGATCAAAGTTTATTCGAAAATTGGGAGATTCTAGCATACAATTTAGGTATTTAACAACTATCACCTATGAGCAATTTTTATGCAAAAAATACATGCCTAAAACCATCCATTTCAAAATGCACATGTAATAACAGATCTACTGACTGCAGATCACTGACGATCTGAAAAAATATTCAAATAATTCGTTTTTGATGATTAAAACGAAAAATATATTACTCAAAATGAGTTATGGAATATTATTGCGAATGAAATTATAATTCGTTTTTTTCACATTGCTTGCGACTGGTACGTAATGTAATTGTTTAGATTTAGAGTGTTCTAATAAAATTACATAAACAATTTAATGATGCTTGATCGTATCTTCTAGCTAGGCATCTTAACTGAGATATCCTGTGCAAATGTTTGATATCCTTTTATATTTAAAGTGCCCTTATTTATTAATTTAAAGGTTTCCTTGTGATTTCAATGTTCTATTAACGATACACATACACTTCGAAAACAAACTTTTCTTTTACACCATGTATTATTCGAATTTAAATATAGCATTAGAATAATTTTGGAGAGTGCAGTTAATTCAAGCCTGCATAATATGAATTTAATTCTGTAGTAACCCGACCTCGAGTTTCGTTTTAACAATAGTTGGTTTAATCATTGAATTGGATAGTTAATCTAAAAATAAAGATTTTTTAATTTAATGGGAATCCGTTATTTGTGTTTATATTGTTTTCTGAGTCATTGGAATGAACAAATTTATCTAAGTAGGTGGATTTACATACATTTTTTCGTTTATCTGAATGGTACATTATGACTATTTATTTTATGTAGGTACATACATAAATTATACCGAATTAATCTAAATTTATTACAATTCACACGACTTACAAATACCTATTTAAATTAGTCGGGTATTTCTAGTAATTCGAGTTGACCTTAAGTCAATGAATCATTCTGTTTTGGTTTGTCAATGAAATATTTGAAATTGATTTGACCTTTACCAAGATAAAATGGTATTTTTTGTTAATTTTTTGTATCAGTCGCGTGAAAGCTGAATCAATTGACCCATTACAAAATTTATCAAGTGTGTAATGATAGTTTTGTAAATATTATTGTAATTAGATCGTTAAGTTAATTGGGTTTTTTGTTCATCAATATTTCATTACAATTTCCTTAAAATATTTTTTATTCCACAATTAGGTAGGTGAATTTCAAATATTTTGAAAAATACGTCATGTTAATTAATATTGGAAATAGAAAGTTTAGCTTCCTTTAAATGGTAATTTTCGTAAAGAGCCGTTTAGAATTTATTAAGCGTGTCTTTTATTTTTCAGTTATAAATATTTATCATCTTTATGATAATTTAATAGATACGCATTGTTGAAATTATACAAACATTCCCAAACCGCAGCTGTAGGTTTTTTTCGTTTATCCTAAACAAACAACTATTTTAATAATGTTTAATGTCGATTTAACAATCACGATAGAAAAAGTATTGAGTATTGTAATGGATATTTCAAGAGTAATATGACATTTTTGTTCACGAGAAAAACATGATGTCATGCAATAAGTGGAATAAGGTTAAATGACTCTCTTGAGAGTAAAAAAATCTACTGAATGTTAATATTTTAAGATAACTTCGCGCCACATTTGTTAAGCGTTGATTTGTGGGATTTATAAATAGATCAGAAATCGCTTGTTGACGAATTGAAAATGTAGATTGTATTATTAAAAGAAGCACCTGCAATGTCACCGATTTTTGTTTATGAAGCGCTCACAAAGAGAAATAAAAAAATAATCCTGCGTTTATCTAATCTGTTAGTTGAATCAATAAAACAACAAATGTCTATTTTTAGAGCCGAAAAAAGCGAAATTTTCAACCATGAAGAACTCCAAATCGCCGATCAGAAGGTGGAATTCCTTAGGGGGGCGCTCAGCGCAATCGCCAAGAAAATTATACCGAATGGTACGCCAACCGACGTAGAAAAATTAAAGGTAAACATTCGAATTTTCTACATTTTTACCTACTCAACTACAAAATATATTGCATTCTATTTTAAAAACTTCTCATTAAAAATTTCACGTAACAAGTCTTTAATAAACCAGCAAAAGTAATCGACAATTAAAATTATATCGGTAGATCAACTTGGAAAATTATTTTTAGAAAAAAACCATAGAATACCATCTCGGTACGACTTTATTAGAGGAATCCAGACAGCCCCAATCCAGAGAATGCCCCCTTATGCACACCATTTTAAGAGAGTGCGGCCAATTGGAGCAACAACTCGGCGGAGAGTACGCCGATCACGAACTGAAAGTGGAGGAATTGGTGTACTCCCCTTTACAGTACGTCCTCGAGAACGATTTTCCCAATATCCTCAAGCACAAGCACAACCTGAGGAAGTACTGTCTGGACAAAGACTCCGCCAGTAACAGATATCAGGTAAGATTCGCAAGATTCTTTTTTTATACAGGTTGTTAATTAATTGAATGCCGATACTACAGGATGTGAATATTTGGGTGATTTTATGAAGAAAAATGTATATCAATATGTGTCCTAAACCTCTTAGTTTTCGAGCTACAGGGTGTTACAGTTAAAAAAATACTTTTTTTATCATAATTTTCTTATTACTATTTTTATGAAATTTCGGACGTGGACGTTACTTATAAAACATTTAAAAAATCTTTTGCATCAAAAAATGCTTCTTAATAATTTAAAAGTGTGTACGAAATTTCATAAAAATATCAGGAGTAGTAAGAAAATTATGATATAAAAGTTCCTTTTTTTATCCAAAATTATAGCACACTGTAGGTCGAAAACTAAGAGGTTTAGGACATATATTGATATAAACTTTTCTTCTTAAAATCAACCAAATATTTACATCCTGAAGTTATCGGCACTCAATTAATTAACACTTTGTAGATAATGGTGAATAAAATTTTTAATTTTTATAGGCATCCGGTAAAGAAGCTTTACGGGGGGACATGGAAGAAGCCGACACCAAAGTAGAACAAAGTCGAGACGCTTTGGCCATAGAAATGTTCAGTCTCCTCGCAAAAGAAAACGAGCTATCCGAATACATTTTACAATTGTTAAAAATCCAGAGGAGTTATCACGAAAGTGCCCTTAAAAACCTGCTCGAACTCATACCCGTTTTAGAGAAGAAAATCGGTAAATAACCGCCACGAATTCCGCATAAATCTCTCTATATAATCGCAATGTTTTCGTAGGCGACAGCTCGGTGAGAAAAGTCTTCGGCACGTCGTTGAGGGAGCACCTGCGCGTCACCAACAAAAGAATAGCCTACCCGTTGGAAATATGCATATCGGCTTTGACGGAGTACGGCCTGTCCGAGGAGGGCCTCTTCCGCGTGGCCGCCAGCACGTCGAAAGTGAAAAGACTGAAAGCCGCCATCGATTCGGGCTGTTTCTCCTTCCTCATACCAGAATACAGGGACGTGCACATCCTATCGAGCTTATTGAAACTCTACCTACGCGAACTACCGGAGCCTTTATTAACCTTCCATTTGCACGAATGTTGGCTGGAAGCAGTACAAGTAAACACCCCGCACACGTTACCCTATATCACCCTTCTTATATTGATGAAATTTGTAGGTTCAAGAGCCCCAACGTATCGATAAAGTGAAGGAAATCATACAGAGGCTTCCGCAGGAGAACCGAGACAATCTGGCTTACTTGTTCCAGTTTCTATCGAAGCTCACCAAGCACCCGGAAAACAAGATGACGCCTTCCAATATAGCCATCGTGCTGTCGCCGAACCTTCTCTGGAACGAGCAGGAGAATCTGAACAGCATCGGTAGCTGCGTAACCTTCAATATTCTAGTCGAGTTGATGATAAAAGAGAGCGATTATCTGTTTCCCGACGACGCCAGTAAGCTGGTCAGCGCGCTGGATATATTCCAGGTACTATTGATAGCGATTAATACGATGGATTTATTGAATTTGGAACGTTTCAGGACGAGGATATTGGCAGTTTTAAAACGAGCAATTCGCATTTGGATTATTACGCGGACGGTCCGAGACCTAATCAGAGAAAGAAAAAGACTGCACCGGTGCCTCCCCTATACAAATCGGACAAACACGATAGCGTAACGAAAATGACGCCTTCTTCGCCAAAGAATTCGATTAAGTAAGTTGTTTGAACCTGAACTAGCTAGCGAAACGGTTCGAAACGCCTCGATTCTGTCAATGTGCAGAAGTTGCGCACTCTTACTAGTTCAAACTGCATTACCAATGATACATTGTATCGTACAATCAAATCAAATCGAGCACATTGACATTTTATGCTTTTTTTTTGATAGGTTAGACGAAATCAAAGTGATACATAATCCCCCGCACCAAACGACGCCGCCTCACGTCCCGGCGAATTCGCCCGTCGCCAAACCGAAGCCCGACGAATCGCCGGCGAAACCGCCGCCGACGGGCGGCGGCTCGGCGGCGGCGGCGGCGGCGAGCCGAGAGAAAGAACCGGCGGCGAAATTGGTGCAAGTGAAAAGCCATCCGGTGGCGTTGCCGCGCCAGATCGAACCCGCCAAGAAACCGCCGTCGCCCAATACGAAGGACGGCGCTAGTCAAACGTTGCACAAATCGGACAGGTCGACGATGACCGACGAATCGAAGGGCGTCGCGCAAACCAAACCCGCCGAGCCGAAGTTCGTGTCTACCATTTACCACAAAGTAAGTACTTATACGATGTGAACCGTCAAAAGAAAAAAAATAGAATAAAAAAATAGCCCAATGACAAAATGGCCCAAAACAGTTCCGGCAAAATTTAAAGCAAACATTATTAGATTTCTAGATTTATTAGAGTATAATAGAGTGGATTCAGAATAAAGTTGAGTTGATTCAGAGTAGAATAGTGTAGATTTTGATTAGAATATTCAGAGTAGAGTAGATTATAAGAATGTAACAAAGTAAATTCAGAGTATAGTAGAGTAGATTCAGAATAGTGAAAATTATATTTAGGGTAAAGTAGATTTAGAACAGAATCGAGTAGATTCAAAGTAGATTCAAATTAAGTAGAGTTCATTCAAAATAAAGGAAAGTTGATTCAGAGTATAATAGAGTAGATTCAGAGTAAAGTAGAGTAGATGCAGAATAGAGTAGATTCACAGCAAAGTAGATTTGATTCAGAGTAAAGTAGATTTACAAAGAAGTATAGTTGTTTCAGAATAGAGTAGAGTTTATACAGAGTAGAGAAAGTTCAGAGTAAAGTAGAGTTAATGCAAAGTAGAGTTGATTCAGAGTGTATTAGATTCCAAATAAAGTAGAGTTGATTTAGAGTGTAATAGAGTACATTCAGAACAATGTAGTGTTGATTCAGGGTATAATAGAATAGATTCAAAGTAGAGTTACTTCAGAGTAAACTAAAGTAGATTCAGAGTAGATTAGAGTTGATTCAGAGTAAAATAGATTCAGAATAAAGTAGGTTTGAATCAGATTATAATAGAGTAGATTCAGAGTAAATTCAGAGTAAAGTAGAGTAAATTTAAAGTAAACTAGAATAAATTTGGAGTTGATTCAGAGTAAAGTAGAGTTGAATCAGAGTACATTAGAGTTGATTCAGAGTAGACTAGTAAAGTAGGGTAGATTGCTGCCCTACCCTTCCAAAATTTGCTTGAAAGTGGAATCCAAAGTATCCAGTTTTCGTGTTACCAACACCGGTGTATTGGACGATTTCCCTCGACTCATCCTCGGTTTTCCGAGCAGTTTTTGACACTACTTTTGAACGAATCGTACAATTCCAGATTTCCAACCATCCCGCTGTGATAACGGACAACAAATCGCTGGACGACATCGAAGAGGTGTCGATACGGCGGAAGGATTTGGGCGCGAGGCCCGAGATCCCCGCTCGACCGTCGTCGCTGCGAACGTGCTCGGTGTACAACGTGGCCAACAAGCAGCAGCCCAGCTACGTGCACATCCAGGTGAAGCCGGAGCCGCCGCCGCCGCACCAGCCGGGCCACGACAACAAAATGGCCGAGAAGGAGCGGTTCCTGGGCCACAAGGCGGACGAGATCGACTCGAATCATAACAGTGACGGCCACACGGCGGACAGAACGTTGTTAGTGAAACCGTTGGATTGTGATCGAGAGGGCGAGATGGCGAAATCGGTGGATTCTATCGTGAAGAATAACGACGCATGTGATATGAGGAACGCCAATCGAAAGTCTAGTCATAACCGTACTAGGTCGGACGGGGGTATTATAGATGTAAATAAAGGGACGAATACCGGTAGGAATTTGAGTAAACCGACGCAACCGCCGCCGCCGCCGCCTGATATGATGTGAGGACTGTTTCAGGTAAATTTGCTGTTTTAAACGATCGGAATTGTTGGTATCTAATATGAGAGTTTAAACGTTGAAGGAAGTGAATGTTTTAGCCGAACGGAATATCGGAATCAATTCATTTCATGATTAAAATTTTGTGCAATAAAATGTACCGTTCGTACTAGATTTTTATGATGCTTGGTTTGCTTATTTTAATATGAATCCACCCTATGAAACTTGAACCACCCTACGTTGCAATATAATATTGAAATAAGCAATAAGCATACGTTAAAAAGCATTTTCGATGTACAAGGTGATTTTCAAAATGTTTATCGTAAAAGGAAGGCGGTGCATCTTTAGCTCATTTTAAGAAAAATGTGACTCCTCAAACTCACTTTTGATACACTGTGACATAAAAGTGTCCGGAATTTCTGATTTAAATTACCTGCACTTAATGTTTTTAACTATTTCAGGTCTCTGAATGTATTAAATCAGTTTATCTCAGTAGTGCTTTGCGAATTTTGCAATAGACAAATATAATATGAACAAAGAGTTTCTCTCATATTTTGGGGTTTGAACGGAATTTCATGAATGGTACAAAACTTTTAAAAACAGTCTGGAGATTGTTAAAGGCTTGCCTCGTTCTACAGAGAAAAATTCAAGTATAATGACATAAAATGAGCTAAGGTGTCATCTTTATATTTTCTAAACAATATTTTGAAACACCTTGTATGTGGTGAGTTAATGAAGTAATTCATTATTTCAGAAAAAACAGATTTTTGTTGCATTTAAAATGTTGCATCGTTAACTCACTTCGTTGATTTGTGGATAAAGCCTCTTTAAGAGACAAAGAATGGTAAATGAATAAATCAAATCGTTAGTTCTACTAACATATATTGTTATAAATGCGAATAAATAAATAAATTAGTTAAATTTATATGAATTGCGTTGGTTACATTATTGGAAATCGTTATCGGCAGTTTTTAACATTTGTTGAACTATTTTTTGTGCTATTTAGAGTATAATATAAAATGTGATTGGATTATTCCCCCTTTTGAAAAATTCTCGCCATACAATTTTCGAGTTCGTGAGGATTTTTTGTACCGGGAATAATCACCCTTACCTTATGTAATTTTATTTTTAGTATCATTAAATAACAAATCCAGTACTCTCCAGCAAAAATGCAGTAAAGAATATCTTTTTATGGAAGCGTTATTGGTTAATCGAACTTTCAAAAGTACTATTTTTAATTATATTTAACCCAATTAATAACTAATATTTTTAATAATGCCAATTGGTTTTTAAATTGGCAGTGTTGGAATTTATTAGAAATGTTTTAGTACTTTTGGGTAGCTGACGAGTATTGCGTAGCCCATTATGAAAAAACGTGTTTCATCTTCATTTTCTTCATATAATCTGTATTATGCTTCACTATTGCTATTATCATCAGCTCGACTTATTTATTTCGTATAAAACATTAAACCAAATTCATAAAAAAGGTTGTATGTAAGGGCGGCTTGAAAAGCCCACCTCTAGTTTAAGCACAGAATGGTCTGCGTGTGGGCGATTTTTTTATTATATAACTTACAAATTTGACTTTCTATACCGTCAATAAATAAATATTTTATTCGTTTTACAACAAACCCACGCGCGGACGTTTTACAAAGCATTTTTAAAAATTTTAAATTTAGTTTATGTTGTTATAATACTACCGGGCGAATTTAAATTGTTGCTGTGCCCATACAAGTTGCCTTGTAGTTAAGTTGTATTGCGATTTTTCTATCAGTTGTTTAAAAATAAAAGTTATGTAAGTAATTTAATACTGCTGGTCAGTTATAATTCAAGTACCTAATATCAAAAATCAGTTATAGAATTTGGTGTATAGAGGATGTTAATTAATTGCCGATATTTCAGGATGTGAAGATTTGGATGATTTTATGAAGAAAAGTTTATATCATTATGTGTCCTAAACCTCTTAGTTTTCGAACTACAAGGTGGTACAGTTTAAAAAAAATACTTTTTTTATCATAATTTTCTTATTACTTCAGATATTTTTATGAAATTTCGGACGTGGACGTTACTGATAAAACATTTAAAAAATCTTTTGCAAAAAAATGCTTTTTAATAATTAAAAAGTGTGTACGAAATTTCATAAAAATATCAGGAGTAGTAAGAAAATTATGATATAAAAGTTCCTTTTTTTCCAAAATTATAGCACACTGTAAGTCGAAAACTAAGAGGTTTAGGACATATATTGATATAAACTTTTCTTCTTAAAATCAACCTAATATTCACATCTTGAAGTTTCGACAATCAATTAATTAACACCCTGTATGTTACGGGTAAAGTTAGATAAACGACCAAACCTAGGTTTACCCTGGAAAAATGCGAAATACCCAAGAAACATCAGTAGGGTAACCTAAGGTAAGATAGGGATAATTTTTTTGGGTTTCTTGGGTTCCCATTATGCCACGAGAAACCTACCCTATCCTACCCGCATTTCGCACTTTGCCCGGGTAAACCTAGGTTTAGTGGTTTATCTTTTTACACGTAAAATATACAAGGTTTTTCGATTAAAGCAGGCACGACAATTTTCGAATTCCTCCTACTATCCTGGTATAAAATGTTGGGGCGTTTGTTAAATTGATTTACCAGCATCGTGAAATATGTTTTTTTCTATTTTTCCAGCAGAAAATGTGGAAGAACTTGTCAATAAGTGTAAATATTTTCCGACCCTCCGTCCCATCGTAGCGAATTGTATACATTTACAGTGTAAATACGGGAAGAACTACGAAAATCAATAATTACTACACGTACTGATGTAATAGAGTCCCCTTTAGCGGCGGTTTTTTCCCGTTCGATAATTCGAGGTAAGGAAACGAAATGAAACGAATCCGAATAATTTTAACAGTATTTATTTTAACGTTTATTTTGCACTGAGCAGTAATACAAGCTAGCATACGAAATCTCGCCGACAGTTTGACTGGTAGACGAAAATTTTGAATAAAATTTAAAATAAAGAGTTAATAAAAATATTTGTGCAACAACTAGAGCATATACATTTATACATACATATAATATGGATATACTTGTATATGAAAAACATGGAAAAAATGTAAAAATAAAATTATAAAAAAAAATCCATCAATAACTTTACCGAATTATTAGCTACTTATTTACTATAAATTTTTGCATTGGTTCCAGTTACTTAAATGCACATTACATACGAATATTAAGGACATTTAATTAATAAAAATTGCTTTTAATGAGTAACATCTCAATTTTCACGAACATTGAATTAGATGAATAAAAAAATGCTGGCAAATTTTACTACCAATGAATTAGATCTACAATTTTTAACTACTCGGATAGCACCTTTTTCGTGAAACAATTTCATCAACATCGAATTTAATTTAAACAACGTATAATTAATTAATTCGTAACTTAACCAATGCACGTAAACGCCATGTTTTGTGACATACATGTACATGCATACAATACATACAAAATACACAGGCGCAACTTAAGAGGGGTCGATAGGGGTCGTCACCCCCACGAGGAATCATGCCTAAAAAATACAACAAGGCGACTTTGAATGCTCATAAAAGCCGAAGACACCGTAATAGAGGAAGTTTCTCGTAAAAAAATTTATTCAAAATCACCCCGTATATTACAAACGATTTATGAATTTACAAAAAAAAAAGAAACATACGCCCCTCTTACGAATTATCCTAAATCCAACCCTGAAAAAACACATAGAAGTAAACGATAGAAAATGGAAACTATAACGAGTGTTATTTTTTTATAATTTTTTTTTCTTGTTTTTATCAGACTAAAAATGTAGCGTTATGTACAAAATGGTATCACCTAAAAATTCAATTCACAAAATATGACTCGAATATCTTCGAATTCGGAACGATCACGGAAAAACCACGTGTTTAAATAGTCTTAGATTAATTTGTGACATAGTAAAATGTATACAGAGCATCCAAAATTTTGCGGAACAACGAATTCTGTGGCTACAAACATTCTTGGATTACCCTGTACGAAAAATATCACTTGTACCGGACGTCTCGTCGCAATGAAACATACATGAGACGCACGGTATACATCATTTTTTACACATATATAGGTATTTGGGAGTAAAAAATACAAACATTATTTTACAACATTTAAATACAGGAAGCTTATAGTTACACATTTTATTTTAAACACCCAGTACATAATTCGTAAATATTACAAATATTTTTTTCCATTGTATAATATTTTTCTTATTTTGGAAGACGCCTTTTTTCCCGTGTAAAACTCGTCCAAATTCGAGATGTCCGCATAATGTAAACAAATATAAAAAAGTCAACTGCAATTTGGCGCAGAAATTTTCGTTTATTTTTTTTTTAATAATTTTCGTTCAATACAGCACATCCCGAAAAAATGCAAAATATTCTCTATATGACAATTAACTCGACTTGGTGACTAGACTAGAGGAAAAATGTCGGTAAGGTATAAATAAAATATAAATCTTTGCGAATTTGTTGCATAAATAATTTCGTTTAGTTCTATTAAAGCTTTCTTCTAGTATTTTATCGTCTTTCCGGAGTCGATTCAAAAATCGCGATGTTGCCAAGAGCGCGTAATAATTCGCGTTTTAAGTGGATTTTTATGGCGCTTTGAACCGACTTTGGAACGGCAGCACGCGAAAACATCAACATATCGCTAAAATGTTGAGCTCAAGTCTTAAAGACCGTATCACCAATGATAATAACATTATAACTTTATACAATTGCAGCGTTATTGCACTTAAATAAATAGGGGAAAAGTTGAGAGTTAAGTAGAATAAAAAAAGAGATGTGCTGTACTCACTTTTTCTTACCACATCTTATAGTTAAAAGTTTTCGTACATTCAACCTAAACTTAAAACATACGAACTATTCATATAGGTTATAGTAAACTGCTAGAACATTAATATTAATTATATTTTACTTTGGCATGTCTGTTTTGAATTGATAAAGATTACGTTCCCTTAAAATCCTATCTAAAAAAATGTCTCTTTCCCTCCTCGTTAATCGATTATTAATAAATTTGTAGTAACAAAAATTTCGTTTAGGGTAGTCCTTTCGAATGTCAATCGGCGATAATTCAGAGAATTAAAATTTGTCAAAAACGTACAAAACTAAAATCGGAATTTTCGCCGGTTTATTACACTTATTTTTGCGATTTAATGACTCTTTAAATTGTTAACAATATGTGCGATATGCGGGACAATCGGTATATTATGGAGATATATGACTAGGAACCTTATTTTTGATTTAATCAATTGCAATAAGATTCATTTTTGAACACATATTATATTCATAGTTTTGATTTATTCATTTATTTAGGGATATAGTATATTATTTAGAAAACTACAAAAAGGTATAAAAATTTTTGGTGCACAATTCCGTATAAATCGTTTTAATTTTAAATAAATTTCAACTATATTTTTCATTAAATTCAATATATAAATAACAAATTTTTTCGACTCTAAGTGCACGTAAATTAAAAAATAATCTCCACTATTTTTATACATTTTCAACTACAATATTTCCATTTAACATTGTATAATTTCCTACATTATTCTATCTCCACAATCTTATCTAAAAATTTTAAATTTAGAAAACAGTCATTTATTTAACTATTTTTTTATGAAGAAACGACGCACTTGAAGATGAGTAAAACAATTTATAATCGATACCTTTACCAAGTTTACATAATTAGAAAATGATTCAGATAATTGAATATATTGCATTCGTTTAAAATTCCAGCATGATTCACACCAGAAAACTCGTAAAATCACGCTGTAATTACTAATAATTAGACTATGATGTTCGGTAATTCCTCTATTGCCACTAAAATACCGAAACTGTTATCACTTTTCGACTCCACGGCAAGGTAATTGGCATCGGGGCATATCAAGGGAATGCACTTAAGTGCTCCCAAAACGTTTAACAAGGGCAAGTACTATCGCGCCCGACGAACAATTCCTCTTAAAACCCTCTCGAGCGATTCGTATAATCATACCAACGGCCTATTTGTGGAGGTTACGAAAAAAAAACACAGCCTTTTGAATTCAATTTAGATGTAAACAAGTTGTTGTCTCGTAAAGAAAATCGTACTGACCACCCTGTATACGATAGATAAATCCGGTACTTGAGCTTAAAATTCCGTCAGTCTAGATAAATCCACTTCCGCCTTTACTTTTACCTTTACCTTCGAAAAAGAAATAGACAAAAATTCCTTCGAGTAGATTACATTGCGTCGTTCTGAACCTTTTCCAACGTGTATACCGGTTGTCCCGCATATCGCACTTGCAACACACAAGTTATATACATTAATATATTAAAATCGAACCAGTCCCCTCTTTGTTTTGGAAGTTAACCGTCATTTTTTTTTTCGAACAATAACAGCACTGTATCAATTTAATGCGAGGGCCTATCAGGAGTGTATAGATGACGTCACAGAGCACTTTTGTAAATTAACGGGCAATAAAAAATCGTAAATGCTTATTTTAAAGTAGTCGATGAGGCTTAAGGGAGATGATTGTATAAATCTAAATATACGCGGAATTCGAACGCTTATTATTAATTATTAATATAAAATAATACTTTTTTTTAATAAATAATTAATTAAATAAATAAATTCAGAATCTCAATCGATGACGGATCGTTAATTGCTAGACTTAAGTAAAAATACGAATTTATCGGAATACGAATCGAATTGGAATGCTTCTTGAGAATTAAAAAGAAAATTAAAAATGCTCGATTGTTTTCGGTTCCGAATAAAACAAAAAAAAATCGTTCTTTCGCCATGATAAATCTCCCTAAAGCACTGCATCTGAATAACGATGGAATAATCCTGTAACATCGCGATGCACTTGTCACAAAGAGGATGCACACCAGAGCTCTCGATGATCCGTTGCGGCTTCTCTTCCAGTGTGTCATGTGTGCATGCGTTCTGAAGTAGAACTTCAACGTTTCGACTGTGACATCATATATTGTTAACACTATTGCACCATTCCGTTTTCGAATTTTTTTTTTCATCCGAACCTTGCTGTTACACACACTCAACAGTCCGTACATTGTAACCCGTATACAGAAGTCATAATGGATCGTTTTCCTGCAACAAAAAAATGGCATTAAAACACATTAATTACGCGAATCCACTAAACGTGTAGTGCAATCCACGTTTAACGCCAGTGTTAGAGTATGCATCGTATTCAAGGCCCTTTTTGAATGTTAAAGACGTGTTTAGAGAGATAATTAGAGACTGTCTTTAACTTTGGTTATCGAGAACAACAAGAATATTCAAATTTAATGAGCTATAAGTTATGATAAGTTTTCCTGTAATCACTGTACTGGATTTTCACTACATCAAAGCTATACAATAATTGTTTGACAGTTCACATTAGAATTCCATATTATTTACCTATCAATGCGTCATATTAACCGGGAAAAAATCTAAAATATTATTTACTCTAAGATAAATCGATATTATTTACATATTGTGAGAGTGAGAATGTGTACATGGAACACACCTCTGTTCTCACACCAACGCAAACATCATTACAAAATCCATTTGCGCGACGACTAAATTAATTAAGCGGATTTATTTTTTCGGTAAATCCGAGTCGAAGAACCCGTCGTATCCGATACGGAATTTTCCCCGACACGTCGAAAAATATAAAAAGGAACAAGCCGTGCCGTAACCCGAACGTCCATTTGCGCCTTTCTTTCGTATATAGCCGACAGAAATTCGCTTCACGGAATATGACCTCACCCTTACGTGACGTTTTCATCTTCTTATTTACACCAATCCCCGGAGAATTACGGCTTTCTAATGTACTGAAATGTTGCTTTCGAATTTCCGACGTTCCCTATTCGGCAAAATAAACCGACTCGCGCGAATTATATACGCGAGAACCGTTCAAATATTAATTACAACACATATTAAATTGAGCGTTCGAAAAGTTTTCATCTTTACTGAACTTCTAATAATCCCCGAAGGCCCTTCCGAAACCCCCGAAAACTCGGAATACAAACAACCCTCGACCGAACAAATTTTTGCAATCTAATTCCTTATTCCTCGCACGACGTCCACCCCATATATAAAAGCGAGGTTGACCATTGTCCAGGTATCCGCGCACTTAGTCACAAAATCGAATTCGTGGAAAATTAATCCACGAGGGCGTTATAAATTCGTGTTTACGAGGGTGGGCCGCGTTCTCCTAACCTGACCCCAAGCCGGACCGGCCGCCGATGAATCAGATGGTCAGCGAATAAAAAGGGGACGGGGAAAAGTCACGTAACGGGAGCGCGAGGTCGTCTTCCTGTCGATGAAGAAGTTCTTTCACCTCGGCGGGGATGATTCGAGGTTATTTATGAGGGTGCTTTGAATCGTTACGTATACGCACAACAATAACTTCTATAATTAACATTCTAATGGAGTCTATAAAGTGCATAGCTGCACGTGAACGACACGCCGCCGGTGCCGCTCCTTAACCGCTTTGTTTATTATTATTATTTTTACGCGCGCGCCTAATTAAATAGCGAACGCGTCATTGCACCTGAATTTTCCATCGATTCGCTCGGAAAGAAGGTGCGAACGGTCGCATATCGAAGCTCCGCTTATTTACAATTCCCGGCGTTTCCGCGCTCTTCTCATCGCGAATAAAATTAAATAAAAGAGAGAGGAAATTGTATATCGAAGAATGCATCGAGGAGGAATGCGCTGGAAATAACGGTGTGTGCCTAACAGTCCGTCCGGATGCCATCGATTCGGACGTTCGTCCAGTGACGGCGTCGAGACCTCGGTTTTATATTGTTTTCGCCCTTAATAAAACCCAAAAAATGGATGGAATGTAAAGTATTTGTTAGGGGAATCCCCTGTTTCACCATATCCTATACAAGCGATCCTAAATTTAAATTTCTGACATTTGACATCTGACGTTTCATGACAGTTGACATCTCATTTATCAATGTCTTACGTTAGTTACGATTTTTCTATAGTAGATATATTTCTTTTGTGGCGTATTTTATTTGGCAAGTGCTGTACTTTAATACTTTTTTCCGATTAAATTAAACGGTTTTTGAACGACAAAATTAATTTATTTAATTTGGCTGGGGAAAAAGGTCGATTTTGATAAAAATTGTTGGCATATACAAGTTCGGAGGCGAATCAAATTTAATCAAAAACAATATGGTAATTCGATTCTCCGGGGAAGGGATGTTTGCTAACCCGTAATTTATATTCAGAAAATTCATATTAGCTGTTTTTGAAATTTAAATGAGGTTTCCTTTTGTTGTCGGCGCCCCCCCCCGGACTGCGCCTTATCTAAGTTAACGTTAATTTTCGGCGTTTTTGAGCGTATTAAATTTCCGGAAAATTGCAGTTACCCAACTATCCGGTTGATTTTAAAAAATGCATGAAGGTGAGCGGTTTATTTGTGGATATAATTCGGTTATGCAGGTACGGGGTTTTTTTTTTGAAAGGGAAAAACCTCACTTTTATTGGAAAAAACCTTCGGGTTGCGTGCAAAAAAAGAATACGTGCTTTCGATTCTTCCGGAGAATAATACGCGAATGTTCCCCGGTCCTTTTAGGAATTCCGTCTAACAATAACCGAAATTTTCTGTGAGCGAAATGTTAAGATGAAAAAACGCTTTGGGAAAGCGATAATTGTATTTTTATTCAACACAACGAAGCACTTCAATTGAAACGAATTAAAAACAGACTTATTACAAGAGGGATTTTTTCTACGGTATGATATACCAGTAATTTGATATTATGGAGCTAATACAGAAATGAGGGAACACACAAGCTGAATGCATTTTGCGGAAAAGTTTCTACAGAGCGGCCAGTCAGTGACGTATACAATATTCTAAATGAACTCGAAACAAATTTATTTTACCACTAATTTAATTAGATTAAACTTATTTCATTACAGTGTTGTTAATCAATTCGAAATTAGTGCTTATTAACTTTTTTTTTATTAGCTACCTTATAGAATTACGCACGTCAATGATAATTTTTTTCTTTAACAGTTTGTGCGCCGCTGCGTGCGAATATTCTTTATAGAAGTTGTAAGAAACTCGAGCTTAACCCGTAATTCTAGATGATTTTATTAAACTCACATATCACTTTTCCCTTCTACTCGTTTTATCACTTCAAAATAAGGCTCCATGGACATTTTTAGATGTTCTAATTCCTAGTTTATGGCAAAGAGGATTTTACGCCCTTTATGGATACGGCAAGTTTTATTTTTGAAATATAAAAATATTAGCGTGTGTAAAGTAGCATAGTATCTAGAGTTTCCAGCTAGCATTAATTAGTTATTGTCCAATGTAGCAGCATTTTTAGAGGTGTGAAAATTGCAAAAAATTCTATGGAGAATACTTATCTCAAAGGAACAATAACTTTTTTACGGAAGCATTTTACGCAGTCGAAAACATCCCTTTTCTATAATTTCGCGTCCTCGCAACTGCGAACTTTTAAATTTAAAATTAAATTAATTCGTAATGCAATTAAAAATATCCGTGGAAATTACGTTGTCCGTACGTTCGCGCGGCGTTTTAATGGATGCGCGCCCGTTTTTATTTTTCTTATAATTTCGTTCTCGTTTCGTTTAGTTTTACGAGCACATTTAATACCCGCTCGAAAAAAAAAGAAGCTTCAATAAAACATTGCCAGGTCGCGAATTTTTTACGCTGAAGCTTCGCATATTTCAATTTCGACGGTATTTTACACCCTCAATAAAGCTCTGAAAAAAATCTTTTGGTACACCCCAATTCCTCACTAAGTTATGGAGTCGACTAGAGTAGATTCAGAGTAGAGTAAATTCGTACGAGTAGAGTAGATTCAGAGTAGAATAGATAGAAAATGGACTAGATTCATAGTAGAGAAAAAAAATTGAGATACATTCGGTGCGGAGTTCCGGTGCGCCCAAATCTTTAATCTAGCCCGTTTAATAAAAGCTTGCGGACGTGCATGAATAAAATAATTAGAAATAGAAAAAGTGACGTCTCGTATATTCGCCGAGCCACACTCGCGGTGGACATTAGAGTAAATTGCAGTTGTAGAGCAAATGCATGCAGACTCCGGAGTGTATTTTTGAAATTGTTAAATGCCCACATACCGTACAGGATATGATAAATAAAAGAACGCTTGAAACGGAGATTTTCCTGATGCAAATCGACTGAATAATGTTAGTGCGCTTTTAACATTTTATAAAACCGAGCGTTTCCGACTAAAATTCAAATATACGCATTTCTTTACTATTATTCCCGTTCCTCGCAATTACATCTATTATAATAATACGTTCGGTTCATTTGAGCGTAGAATTGATACATCCATTCCCTATCCCTCTAAATTACGAAACGCAATTTATTTGCGAAATGATTTCAGTTCATACAATATGCATGCATAACGTTCACAATGCGCCCATTATTGATATACATACCCACTCGACTCGATACAAGCGTCATTCGTTAGAATCGCAATTCAGACGTTTTCCCGCTAACCATAACAGGAAATACTAAAATAACTAAGAGGAGAACGTCTTTATGAAAAATGCGAATGTTCCCCAGTTTCGCTCGACTGACACGGAACGACGGAATAAGATGGATAGAAACGCTCTGAATATTTGATAAATGAACGATGAACGAGGTAATACGATAATGCGAGGAGGAGAAGAGAGTAAAAAAAGGAGCGATAAGAGGAATCCGAGCCGAGGCTCGTAGACAGTAGGCCGAGGAATGTTTCGTTTGTTTCGAATCGCAGGAAACAAAAGGAGTAAACTGTATAAAATCTCCTAGGCATTTAGATTTGCGGTAGACAAAAGAATATAAACTAAAATAGATGTACAGGCATTATACCGAGTAGCTAAAAGTAAACCCACAGCGCAGCGTCCGAAAGATGAAATGGGAAATGTCTTAATGTGGAAAGGGGTTTTAGCGGTTTACGGTAATACATTTTTCTTGAAGCGAATTATTTTAGAGTAATATCCCGTCCGAACGTTAGCTGTGGAAAAAGATTAATGTCGGTTTAAAGAGAAAAATGCCAGTTAAAAGCCGTTTTCGAGGATAAATTGTAATGCAGTCGGAATAAACGCCCGCCGACTGG